GGCGAATGTTCTTAAAGTAGAAACCCCCAGCCTCCACACCATCAGAAGACCTAAAGAGCAATCACAACATTTTAACAGTCATCTTAAAGTTAGGTGGCAGATGATAAACCCTTATCATTCTGTGAGCACAGCTGCCAAACTCCATTGATTAACAGGCTTTTGTTTATTCTGGGCTAGCAAATACACACACATTTTACCTTAAGAGGTGCCTCTTTAATTTCTGAATGTTATGGAGCTGACTCATCAGTGTGAACTTTGGGGACAAAAGCCTGATTCAACATCTTTCCAAAGAAACAATTCCTTATAGGAGAAGAGAAAATTCCAGGGGAGTTCTCAGAGAGTTTTGTACCAACAAACCAAAGGAGCACTCTGCTTTAAAAGCTTCCTTGCAGGGGGTCAGGGTAGAGACCTAGGCCCTTAGCCTCCCTTTCAAAAAAAAAAAAAACTCCAGGGTTCACTATCTGTGGGAAGATACTCAGGGACGTGAAGAGTATAGTAGGCCCATGTCACAAGAGTTAGGAACAAGTGCCAGAAGTCTTTTCAAAATAGAAGTGTTACTGCCTTAAAAAGCACCTTTCTGAAGTAAGCTAAAGATAGATGTTGTCACAGAACAGGTAAAAATATCTTCAGTCTGTTATTAAGATACCTAGAACTCTCCCTTAACCTTTTCCTTTTAATAGGTGATTAATTGCTGCCCCGCTAAAAGAGTCTTGCTTTTTTTTTTTTTATGGCCACTATACTGCAACTCTAGACATCCTCTCTGCAATTTCTCTCAGCAAGCCCCAACTGTAATAACTGTTTGCTAATTGTAAAATCCTTATCCAGAATGAGGTTTGGGCAAACAATTTGTACTACTGTAATTACATTGTAAAAGTGTTTTAGTCCCTTGATTGTTCAGAATTAATCTTATAAAGGCCTAGGAGTAGCATTAGGTTCGGAGTTACAGATGGAAAGGAGTGGAGAGAGAAGAAAGAAGACACTTTTCAAAACTAATGAGTTTATTTTAAACCCACAAAGTCAGCCCATCTTTTTCTTTAAGGCAAATGTTCTTGTCCTTCTCTTAAAGTGCATTTTAAAGGAAATCCGACACATGGCAGTGAAAGCCACAACAATTTCTCTTCTCTTTGAAGTCTGAAGTTCTGTCCCAAAGGAATGACTTACCTGAAACTTCTTGTTTCCTCTCTGCTAGAGAAACAAAACAAAACTACCGGATAGCCACACTGGAAGATAAATTCTAAACTATAAAAACTATACTCATCAGAATTCTCTTTCAGAGCTCTTCTTTTCTCAAGTTTGAAGAGGAGGCTACAGAGTTGAGTTACATCAAGCCGGTTACCTAAATCTCTGCGTAATAACCTATGACCGTGGAGACGTATTTCGCAGCACACGTCTGTTAAATTCTATTCGCACGGTTTCCCTTCGCAGTTCATTGAAGGATCACAAACAAATGTGTCGTGGTAGGGCTTTATCCCCCCACTCCCCCCCATCCCCAACCACACTGATGGGGGCGCACAGCGGCTGAGCAGCCCTGGAAGGCGCTCAGGTGTGGACGAAGGCTGCTCCGAGTCTGGGAAAGACTCTCCGACTGAGCCAGGGCCCACAGTGGCCCTCTCGGTAATGGGGGAAGGATTATGTTCCCTGACACAGTTTGCTCAGCTTCCTGGAGACTCCTAACAGAGAAGGTGCCTTCCTGGGGTGGAAAGGTTCCATCTTGGCCTGAAATATCATTCTCCAAGTTCACGTTAAAGAGAGTTGCGGGGTGGTTGGGAGTAGGGGGTGGGCTGAAGCGCTGGTAATTCACCTGGATTTCCTCGGCTTTGATGTGCGGGCCTGCTTAAATGTCCCGCATGATCTGGAGCGGGGATGGGGGTGGGGTGGGTGGGTGTTGGTACCAGAGAACACTAAACTCTACACATGCTTGCCGGGTAGAGGGGAAGGCAAAAGATCCTGAAAGCTGAGAGGGGAAGGAGAAGAGAAGAGAAGAGAAGAGAAGAGAAGAGAAGAGAAGAGAAGAGAAGAGAAGAGAAGAGAAGAGAAGAGAAGAGAAGAGAAGAGAAGAGAAGAGAAGAGAAGAGAAGAGAAGAGAAGAGAAGAGAAGAGAAGAGAAGAGAAGAGAAGAGAAGAGAAGAGAAGAGAAGAGAAGAGAAGAGAAGAGAAGAGAAGAGAGAAGAAATCTCTCAGGGCAATGGATGTCGTTGGGCGCACTTGTGAAGAACATAGTGTTGAGGTGGGTGGGTGCAGGACGCTAGGATGCTTCAGACACCGACTGTCTGAAACGCTCACTCTTTAGGGGGAGCCGGGCATTGGCTCCCTCTAAGCACTGAAGCAAGAGCTGTCGCTTAGGGAGGCACGGTTCGCTCCAGAGAGCTGATTGCCTGGTCTGCGTTCTGGGGCTTGTCCTAGGTCCCCTACTCCTCCGAAACCCATTTCACAGAACTCGCGGGCGAATGCCCATTTCTCCTTTTAGTTTGCGCCCGAAGCGTTGACTTCTATACATTTCAGAACGCCGTTTCCAAACCCCTCATCTTTCTCAAAACTCTTGGCCCCACTCTACCCTCCCCTTCCCCTCTTCCGTGGGATGAGGGTTCGCTTGAGTAGGCTGGGCTGGGGGTGAGGGCAGTGAGGGGCAGGCTGCTCTCGGGGAGACAGCCTTTTGGCCACAATCAGGGCGGGAATCGGGACTGGCAGTTTGCATTCCCCGCAGATCGAAGCTCCCTGCTGATCGATTATTTGATAATTGATTTTCCCCGTAGCCAATGCGCGGCCGCTCTGGGGTGTGCGCGTCCTGATTGGCGGAGCCGGGCTCCACGGCTGCCTACCGAGATTTGGGTGAGCTCATTTTCCAGCCGACCGCAGGGGGAGTTTTCTCGAGGTTTCAGCTGGAGGCAGGGAAAAAAAAAAAAAAATCCTGCTCTGAGCCGAGTGAGCTGCTAGCACGGCTCGGAGACGTAAGGTTTCCAGTCCCGCTGATCGAGCTGCTGAGGCTGGGCCAGCTCGCCTGATGGGAGTCGGGCCGCGAAACAGAAAAATTAAAAAAAAAAAAAATTAAAAAAAAAAAACGAAAATAACCCCAAGAAATAGAATAAGGCTAAGCTTGGAGTGGGAGAATGAGCGGATTTTTGTTAAGTCGGAGACTAGGTATTTGAAGGGATAAAGTTAAAATTAGTGGAAGATAGGAGCCTCCGAGTTACGTGCAGGGCCAGCTTTTTGTTTGAAATCTCAGCTGCGAAGTGGATTTCGTTTTGTTTGGCACTTACATTTCTATTTTATTTTATTTTTTTTCCCCGAGACGGGTTGGGGACGGGAAAGCGGAGTGGGGGGAGGGCAAGAAGGAGATCGCGGGGCGTCGTCCCGGAAAAAAGCTGGGGTGCGGGGTTCCTCCAGGCCCGCGCGTAGCCGAGGCCAGAGCCCCCTCGGCGCCTCGAAGACAAAGGCGGAGGCGCGGCCGGAGACGGAGCCCAGCGCGCCCGCTCTGGCTTCGACGCGCCCGGAGCGCACGACCGCCTCGCCCCGAGCGGGTTGGAGAAAGAGCCTCCCTCCCGCGGCTCCCGGGCCTCGGCTCCGCCCGCGAGGTCTGGGCTGCTCGGAGCCCGCGTCGGGTTTCGCTTTCCGGCGATCATAAATAGCTTCGTGTTTGTAAACAGGCGCTGGGGGGGCACATTCCCAGCTCGCAGCTTATTGTTCCCTCCCTTCCTCTCCCACTTAGCGCAGGACGCTCGGCTGAGGCTGGGGGCCTCCGGGTCTAGGTGGTGGGGGTGGCCAGCCCCAGAAAGTGAGAAAATGCAAGCATTTCCTTCCCCTGGGCAGGGTGTCCACCTCTGACAGGGAGAACGCACACAGACACACACACACACACACACACACACACACAGACTCAGACACAGACACACACAGACCACCTCTAAATTGGGCTTGCAGAACGCTCCAGCCTTCTCCACCCTACACTCCTTAGCAGAGCCGTTCCCAGCCTTGCCTTTAGTCCTGCGTCTCCTCCCAGATCCTCATTTGACTTTTCGACTTGAGGGTGTTTAGTTCAGAGAATCCAGCACTTTTCGTATATCCCACTCCCCCGAGCCCCCCCACCGTCACCAAAAAAAAAAATTACTGGCAGACCCCAATAATTTCGAGGAAAGTCATGAAGTCTATTGCGCGGAGCCCTGTGCAAAATAACTCCCGTAGTCGCCTGCCCCGCGTTTAATTCCCAATTTATTTCAAGAGAATCGGGTTTGGGGAGCGTCTGGAGGGGGAGGGAGAGAAAAGAAGACGGAGAAATAAAGCCGGCGGCCGGGGCTGCTGCCCGCGTTTGTGCGTGTGTGTGCCCGGGGTGTGTGGGTGTTTGTGCCTGGGCGTGCGATTTAATGGAGCGCCTCTCTGCCTCTCCAGTGCGGCCAGAGCTCGCTTCGCGCACCCACCCCTGCCGAGGAGCCTACTTGCTGCAGCCCAATGCATTGTGTAAGACGCGACCTGTTATGGCCACCACTACTTCCGGGTTCTAGCATTCTGGTCGGAATCCACCTCTCCGCCTGTGCAACACACACTTTACACACGCACGGGGACTGCAAGCGGGCAGCATCGATCGTGGCTCCTTTAAGACAAACTCAGACAGACATTTTTTTTAACCCTCCTCCTCTAATCTCCCTCCAGTGCAGCAGTTGCAAAGAGGGAGAGAGAGAGCGAGAGAGAGAGAAAGAGAGAGAGAAAGAGAAAGAGCAAGCGAGCGAGAGAAGAGAGAAACTGATTAGGAATTAGGACTGATTCAAGGGAAGCGAGCGCTAGGGCTTTGTGCATTTGAATATTAACATTTGAGGTGTTCTGACCAGAAGAAGACAGAGCGGATGATCATTCATTCACCACGTTGACAACCTCGCCTGTGATTGACAGCCGGAGTGGCAGAAAGCCATGAGATTTGGTAGTTGGGTCTGAGGGGCGCTTTTTTTTTTTTAAACTGATTTTTTGGGGAGAGAAGATCTGCTTTTTTTTTTTTTTTTGCTTTTTTTTTTTTTTTTTTTTTTTTTTTGCCCCCGCTGCTGTCTTGGAAACGGAGCGCTTTTATGCTCATTGACTCGGGCTCTTTGCTTCAGGTCCCGTAGACCGAAGATCTGGGACCAGGAGCTCACGTTGCTGGAAACGTTAAGGGATTTTTCGTCGTGCTTAAAAAAATTTTTTTTTCCGGGGGAGTTTGCGTATTTGTTCCTTTTCACACTGGCCTTAAAGAGGATATATTAGAAGTTGAAGTAGGAAGGGAGCAGGGAGGCCGATGGCGCAAAGGGTACGTATTAAAAAACAATGTGGAACTCAAATGTGAGATTAAATTGAAACGTGGCTAAAAGACACTGCTAAAAAGTTTTCTTTTTTTTCTCTCTGTCTTTTTGAATGAGGCTCCTAAAGCCGTGGCCTAAACCAAGAGGATTTATTCAATGCATTTGTAAATTTATGTGTTACATGTAATTGTTAATTCAAATGATCAAGTTTTCTATAGATTCCTAACCAGCAGCTATCTAAATAAAAGTGAAAATCTGAATAATAATCTACTTAAAAATCAAAAACAAAATAATATAGATACCTAATGCCATAATTCAAGATTTTTCATAATCAGAAGTTTAAAGCTAATTTTAAACCTAACACAAGCTGCTAGAAACTTCTGAAATGTTATTGAATATACTCGTCTTTAATATCATTAGAAGTATTTTGCTTCTTAAGCAGCAACTTTGCCATAGTACAGTGGTTGGGGGGAATCGGAAAGCATGTATCTTTTAAAGGTAATTTTAATGTGCATGGGTTTTTATATAAGGTTAATGCTTTGAAAGTTTTTCTTAGAAAAGCCCTGTACTAATTGGATAGTGAGCATACTTAAAAAATGCAATACCTAATTTCCCCAATATTCCTATTTGGATGGAAATGTAGTGAGAGTAAAGTGAGACAATGACAATCCTACTGAGGTAGTTTCTTAGAAGAAAGGGGGTCTACAAAAAGCCTTCCTTGCATAATTTGTGTCCTGGCTCTCAAAGCCCTGTTTGCAAAAAAAAGGAAAAAGTTACTAGGCTGACACATTTTTCTTTACTCCTTTGGTTCAGGCAAATGTCAGCGTTCTTCCAAACTCTTTTCACACCTCTGGCTTTAAGGAAATGAAAGTGACAATTCCTCTTTTCTTTGAAAATCATTTCACTATCAGCGCCTCCAAATCTTGGGAAAAGAACTTGCCTGTAATGAAGCAATGAGGGGATTCTAAATAGCTAAATTTCACACGCAAAAATAATGACAATCAATATGAAAGTTGTTTTTCTAGAAGAGGAAGATGAAAAGTTGTAAGTGCCTTTGCTTTTTGAATTTGCTTTAAACCTCATGAGGGACATTTGCCTTACAGACATCTAGGCTAGAAAGAAAGTTTCTGAAAGTAAAAAATAAATAATAAAACAAAGTAATGAATTGCTCCATAATAGCTGTTCTTTAACTGGAGGATGGGAGAAATGCCCTATTTAGAATTCTTCTCTAACGTACAAGAAAACCTACCCTCCCAGAGTTTCACTTCTAAAGGGGACCAGTTAGTTTTATATAATTTAGCAGAGTTCATCTTGGATAGCACTGTCTTGCAGTACTGCCAAACGTGAAGCTAGCAGGAAAATAAAATGAGAAGCCTGTCTGAATTCACGTGCCTGTTGTAGCTGTTCCCATCTTAACTTTTTGCACCCCCGCCCCCAATTCACCCTGATGGGAAAGGGCTGTGAAAGCAGGCGAGTTTGCTGCACTGTCCTGGCACGTTTTATTATTGTGATTTTGAGGTCTCCTCCTCCAGAGACGTGCACATTTTACTTCCACCCTCCAGGGGAGAATGCCTCCCTTTCTTTCCTTCTTTCTTCCTTTCTTGCCAAAGGATCCCGATTATCTGAACTAGGATTGGGACACAAGTTAGGGCAAGATTATTCCTTCTAAACCGAAGTATCACAGACAATCCTAGAGATTTTACTCCCCCAATTTTTTTTTTTAATAAAAATGTCTCAACTTTAGAGACTCAAGGCCACTAGAATCCCAGCTGAGGGAACCAGCTGGACTGACATTATATAAGCTCCGTGCCCTGACTTTCCCCTATTCGCCTGCCTGGCTTTCTGAACTTTGTTTCTCTCCTGTTTGTCATGCAGTACGACGATCTACCCCATTATGGGGGCATGGACGGAGTAGGCATCCCCTCCACGATGTATGGGGACCCGCATGCCGCCAGGTCCATGCAGCCAGTCCACCACCTGAACCACGGGCCTCCTCTGCACTCGCATCAGTACCCGCACACAGCTCACACCAACGCCATGGCCCCCAGCATGGGTTCCTCCGTCAATGACGCTTTAAAGAGAGATAAAGATGCCATTTATGGGTAGGTACGATGGGCAGCAGGTTAAGTAGTGGGACGATATTTCCCGTTTCCCTTAGCCGTTGGTAAGGAAGAGGAAAAAGCCTGATTTCTTGGGATTGGAGGTGAATTCTTGGGTGACTTTTTATTCTCACTGCATGAAGAATTTGGGGGAGGCGGCCTGTCATCCGGGATACCCCCACCCCCCATCTCCATACATGCTCCGGACCAGTCCAGAGCCCCACTCTGTCCTGACTGTGCAGGGAAGGGGTCTCTGAGCTGAGCAGTTGCCAGAGATCCTTCTTCCCCTCTGAGACCCGGGCTGGACAGTTCAGGGGATTGGAGTCCTTGCTGGCTCGGCTTCGCTGGGCAAGCCTTGGGGGTTTCTAAATGGAGGCGCCTTTGTGTTGGAATGAAACTTTTAGTTTAAGGGAAAATCTTTTAAGCCACTGATTGTTCTGACTTGCTAAGTTTACTCAGCAACCGTATGCTGGCTCTGCCACTGCACAATAAAATCAAGGGAGGACGGTTGCAGGTCAGGCAAGGGGGAACATGCTTTGCATTTAGGGAGTTTGACCACTGTCGCCAAGGAGAGAGCTCGCGCTGAATTGTTACAGACTCTAAGGAACTTCTCGCTCTTTTTATCACTTTGTGTTCAAAGGCGAAGCCTGCAGGATTTAGACAGAAGTAGATGCGGGGTGTTCTCTGCCCGTGTTGTTTTCTGGCTGCGGTTTACACCGTGTGCAGCCGATCATTTGATTAAACGCAGGACTAGTGAAATTATTTTAAAGTCACTTTTGCCTACTGTGTGCTGGTGCATAGGAGTGATGGGTCCTTTTTCTTTGCGGACAACTTTTATTTCTACTTATTTCTTCTTTAGAAAAAAAAATTAAGCAACACTGACCCTCTCCAGCTGAAAAAAAAAATATCTCAGCTTTTTTCTAGTCCCTTGTGCAATGGACTTGTTTAAATCCCAGTGTTCTCTGCAGCGTGAACTGCAAGTGGCTTAGGCTCCAGGACCGCACATTTGGGGATGCTTTGAAAAGGACCCCAAACTGTTAAATTCCCAGCTGGGCTGTGAGAGCTCATAAAAGACTTGAGATTCCTCCTTGCCCATTAGAATCCCCCCCTCCTTTTTTTAATGGGCCGAGATAAGCGACGTCTAGGCCCCTAGCTGCTTTGCCATTCCGCAGAGAGCAAATGAAAGAGCATTTGAAGGAAGTTTCTTGGGTTGGGGGGCAGCGGTGGGGGCCACTGGGCAAGGAAGTGAGTTGTACAGGAGTCGAGGAGGCGCCTTTCTCCTCTGAGGGCTCGGGGAGGTCCAGACCGGTAGGTTCAGCTCCCTGACAGCGGAAAAGACCCTGTCCTGAGATAGCTGAGCGAGCTCCTGCCATGGAGATCCCCCCAGCCCTGGGCTTCGCCAGGCGGCCTTGGAGGAGCTCGCTTGAACCAATTTCCCTAGGGCCTCCGCCCAGCGCCCAGTCCCTGGCCCAGGTCCGGGATGTGCAGCTCAGGGTCCAGGCTGGTCGGTGGGAAACTTCATTCAAAATGGCTGCGGAGACCGATGGGGGTTGATTCTCAGCAAATGCTACCAATTTGCCGGGCCAGAAATGCTGGACCGGTCGTCAGATCCGACCTATGACTTAGGGCCTCCTAGTTTGGAACCCTCGGAGGTAGGGCCAGTGTGCAGTCACCCTGGGGAGCTGGGGGGAGGACAAGTGTGGGGGGGGTACAGATGACAAATTCAGGGAGGGGGTCCTCAGCCTTGAGCCCGAGCCCCTTCTTTGGACATCTTTTTCTTTTTTTCCTCACGGACTCGGGACTAACCATTGTGTTGTTTGTGACTGTTGTATTTTCTTGCAGACACCCCCTCTTCCCTCTCTTAGCACTGATTTTTGAGAAATGTGAATTAGCTACTTGTACCCCCCGCGAGCCGGGGGTGGCGGGCGGGGACGTCTGCTCGTCAGAGTCATTCAATGAAGATATAGCCGTGTTCGCCAAACAGGTCAGCAAAATAAATGTTTAAAAAGTCAAAGAGGGGGAGAAAAGAGAGGAAGGAAAGAAAGAAAGAAGGAAGGAAAGAAAGAAACAAAGAAAGGAAGAAAGAAAGAAAGAAAGAAAGAAAGAAAGAAAGAAAGAAAGAAAGAAAGAGGAAGACAGACAGACAGACAGACAAGAGCCCTTCACTCCCACCCTCGCCCTCCAGCGCATCTCCCAAAGTAGCCAGCAGTTGGTCCACCCAGCGCCCTGCCCGCTGAGATCCCCTTCCCCTAAGAGAGTCTATTTGGAGATAACCTAAAATCGCCCCTAATCTTACCAACTCACACCCCGAAACCCAACTCAGAAAAGCCACTCCAAAAAATCGAATCGCCCACACTACGCGCCAGGGCTGCCTTGGACATGCCGGGTGCGCGCGGCCTCCCTAGAAGCGAGATGCTTGCTAGAAGCAGCAGTGAGCTTTGGGCTTGGATTTCGACTTATTTGATGCACTTTCAAGTGCTTCTGCGCGGGGCAAATTCGGTGTCACTGAGTCCCTACCGAGGTGACACCCTCCCCCCAGCCCCCAGTGTAATGAGGCAAGAAACTAGGATAGGCGAAGAAATTTCAATTTTTTTCTTTCTCCCCCCCCCCCCCCCCCCCACTTGCGTTTAGATTCGAGCCGAAAAACCTCTATTTTCTTCTAATCCAGAACTGGATAACTTGGTAAGAGCGGACCCCTTTCCCCCAGCCCCCTCCCCCCCCAGAACTCCCCAATTCTGGAAGCTTGGCTTTGAGAGCCCTGGGGTTTCCAGAGCCGCCTTGCCCTGGCTGCGAGTAGGCTGCAAATATTTCCGTTCACGGACAAGTGGTCCGGGACAAGATCCTGGGGAAATACATTCATCTCGAGAGGGGCCGGGCGCGCCGGCGCGGGGGAACGCGAGCTTTTGTTTTTTATGACAGCCGGGCAGCGCGGCTCTAATCAGCGCGGGGATTTATCTCCTGGCCTGTCAGCGTGTGTGCTTAAACTTTGCGGACTTCCCAGCCCTCCTAGTCGCGTCATGAGGGCAGCCACAGGGCAAGAACCCCCAAACAACCGGTTTGCTTGAAAGGTGTGCGGATGGCTGCAGAAAGTTTGCTGTGTGGAGAAGCCACACGAGGGAGAGTAGTTGGAACCCCCTTTTCCGCGCAAGCCTTCGGAGAGAACCTCTAGATGTGACCCTTAGGAGGTGGGGTGGAGGCAGGGGGGCTGAGGAGAGGGAAAGTCATGAGGGGAGGAGAGTGTTTATGATCCCCACTTAGATGCTTTGTTGTTGTTTTAGCTCTTTTCTTTCTCCTTAAAAAATAGAAACCTCTAGATGGTACCCACTCGCTGCTATTAAGTTTTAGTGTTGTTGCCATAAATCAAAATAAGTCTATTTACTGAGGTAGGGGTGGGGAGAGGGGTGGGTTGAAGATGCGAAAGCTGTGACAGCCAGTTTTTAGCAAACCAAGAATGGGGTGCTCATTCTTTTTGTATTTTTGCAGATGATTCAAGCCATACAAGTATTAAGGTTCCATCTGTTGGAATTAGAGAAGGTAATTTCTCTCTAGCCTTTTTTTTTTCTTTTGCTTTCCCTCACCCCCAAACACAGGATGAAGGGAAGGATTCAGAAGGGCTGAAGTTCAGGCTTCTGAGACATTTGCATAAATGTCTTAAATGTCTTTCTTTCTGGTAATTAGTGTCAAGGCCAATCTTTGCGTCCATTTCTCTTTGCAGTTTAATTACAATTTCAGCCACTAAAACCGGGATCACAAACGCCCTCGCCTTGTATTCATTCTTAATACCTTGCTGGCATTGTACAGAGTTGCAATTCTATGCACCCCCAGTGATGTTTAGAATGCTGCTGTAAGTTTGCCTCACAGGTTACACCTCCATGGCCTCTCCTTTTCCTCTTCCTTCTCTACTTCTGGGAGGGTGGGGAGGGGGTGGGGAGGCTGTTTAGTTTTAGTGAGTTTCTGGAAGACAGTGGGAGAGCAGCGGCAGGTCAGATGCAGAGGAGAGGCAGAGGAGGAGGAGTGGGCTGGGAGTAGGGAGGAGGCAGAGGGAGGCACAGTAAACGTTTTGCAGAGACAAAGCAGAGTTGATAGTTGTGTCAATTTCTTGAATCTGTGAGTCCTGCATACACCCCACCTTCACACTCAAGATAGGGTGTGGGGTAACAGGATTTTGCTAGCTGTTCTATAAATCTCAGCAATAAAAACTTAAAGCATTGTAATTCAAACTAACATTTGATCACAAGCACGCTGGGGTTTCTTGTGAATTTTTGCATGTTAGTGGTGCCTGGGGCCTGTAGGACTGGACTCCACTTACACCTAAGTATTTTGTAGCATTCTTTTTCCTTTAAAAATAAATCAATTTGATGCATTTTAAGACTGTAGGACTCCTCCTCCCCACCCCATAACATGAGTACTTGCTATTTGATTTCCTTCTAATTTTTAAAAGGTGATACTCTGAAATTTGATGTTATGGGTAGAAATTTTAATTACAAATGTTTGAGGGACTTAGGTTGTCAGTCATATATCCTATGCCACCACAATACTTTTTTTTTTAAAAGTGATAGATAGATGTTCACATTTTCCCCATTCACATGCTGGGAAAAGACATACTTATAAAGTAACTTGATGAAATCAAATAGTTTACCTTAAATGTCACCCACACAGGTCACCTCTCTAATGGCCACAGCCCTGGGAGCAGATGAATTTAACACGGGTGTTGAATATGTTGTAGCCTGTGAATCATCTTGTCACTGTCAATTTTCTGGGATATCTCTATTTTGCAAGAAAAGAAAGTTATTCCTAATTCTGGATGCGTGTGGGGGTCTCTGGAGGACAATTGCCCTGTGTTTTCCCTATTTGAAAGTTTGGATCTCACAAGGGGGGTGGATTGCACTTGTCAGTGTCACTTATGCACTTCTAATTATATTTCCATTTTTTATTTCTGTCATAATGTAGGTACACGAATTATGTGACAATTTCTGCCACCGGTATATTAGCTGTTTGAAAGGGAAAATGCCTATTGATTTGGTGATAGACGATAGAGAAGGAGGATCAAAATCAGACAGTGAAGATATAACAAGATCAGCAAATCTAACTGACCAGGTACGCGCTTTTCAATTTCATCATCCCTGGGGGAAAAAAAAATCTGTATGCATATTGCTTGCTGGGTCACTACCACCTCCTTTTATTATTTGCATATGATTAAGTCCCTTTTAGATACATTTCCATCGAAATGAAAATTTCTGAATAATGTGGCTATTATTGCTTCATTAAGGCTGGCTCTGGGATTCGACCTGGAGAGATGAGCTTGTAAAAGCTTTGCCTGCAAACTTGACCTGTTTCTTGTCGCTTTTAATTTTTGTCTTTATTTTATTTACTCTCTATAATAATGGGAGTGTTAACTGCCAGTGACCGCCTCTGATTGTAGGGCTTTGTTCCGGAGCATGTTTCTCCCTTCTATCTAGAAGAAAAGAAAAGTGCAGGGTCCCCTTATTTCTTATTTTATTAGGAATAAATCCAAGATAGGTGGTCTAAGACAGACAGTGAGTGTTTGAAATCTAGCAAATGCTGCCTATTTTCTCCCTGTCTGTACGGTTCATTAGCCTGTCTTGTCAGTTTTCCTCGGCCCAACGCTTCTAGACCTCGCTGAACATTGCTTTGTGCAGTGCTAGCTGCAAGCTAGTCCATTTTATTGTACTTAATAGAAAAAAAATAAGACCAGGCCGAGGTCATAAAAACAGATAAATATGGACTTTTCTTATCCTCTTCCCCACTCATCCTACAGCTGATAGGCATGTTGGGTCCTCTGGGTACAAAGCTTTTGGGGAATGCCAGTGTCTGTGGCACTCCATGCCTCCCTCATTGTGGCATTAAAGCAGAAGAGACCTAACTCAGCCTTGCTTAGCCTTTGCTCTCTGAAGCCAGCCTTTGCCTGCTACCCACTCCCCTCCCATCCTCCCTCCAGGCCTTCTTCTTCTGTGTTTCTAAGTGGGAAGGACTTTTACTTGGAGTTGCTGGGGGGATTCCTCTCCCTCTCTCACTTAACCTGCTGTTTGCTCCAAGTGTCCATTTCTGTCTGTCTCTCTCTTTCTCTTGTCTCTGTGTCTTTGAATTGGTCCAGGAGTTGCAAAAAATGCAATCAAAAGTGCAAGCTTGAGGAGAGGAGGAGTGGGTGAGATGAAACGGGTGGGACAGGACAGCTCTCTGCTGTGAAATGTCACCAGGTTCTAGAGATAGTAGTTGCAGGTCTTCTAGGCGTCTGCGTATGTAATTGAAGGTCCAGAGTTGTTTCTCTTTCTCACTTGGTAAGTGAGTCCCGTCCCAGAGAGAGAGAGAGAGAGAGAGAGAGAGAGAGAGAGAGAGAGAGAGAGAGAGAGAGAGAGAGAGAGAGAGAGACAGAGAGAGAACAGAGAAGAGAGGAGAGAGAGAGAGAGAGAGAGAGAGAGAGAGAGAGAGAGAGAGAGAGAGAGAGAGAGCCTTTGTTAAGCCAAAGCCAAAGGACAGTCTGGCCGGGAAGCTTCCTTTGCAAACTCTGCCATGACCACCATTGGCCAGCGGCTGTCTTTTCTGAGAGTCTCTGCTGGAGTGGCCAACTTTGCTCTGGATGTCATCTCCAAGTTTTCTTCTTTCACCTTCTTAAATGCCCAGCTTGGATTTCTCCGGATAACCCTGAAATAAAGGCTGCACCACTCCTTTCTTCTCAAAGAGTGGTGGACAGGCGGATCTGAATATTTAAAATGCCAGCGCGCCCGGTCTTTTACTGTTATTTAGCAACTTACAAACTTTCCGCAGTGTAGACCAGTGCACAAGACCGACAGCCGGCAGGGCCCCGCGCGCCCCGCCCGCCCCGCCGAGGTGGGAAACCTAAAGGCGCCCCCTACTCGGGGCCGCAGGCTGCCGGGCCTCCCGTCTCGTTCTCCCTCCAGTCTTCGCCCCGGAGCTGTGAAATGTAGATTCCGCCGAGGAACCCTCGGTAGCTGCTGTTGAATAAAAATTGTAATCCAACAAGCCTAACTAGAAAATGGGATTCTAAAAGCTCCGGAGTGCTGGCTACATAAAGCTATTTGAGCAAATTACAAGAATCGCTTAGGGGCATGAATGAAATCAACACTTTAATTGCCTCCAAAATGAAGATTTATACCCCATTTTCTCAACGAATCATTATTTTATTAAAGTCAAAGATAAAGGACCGAAGTTATGAGGGCTTTGTGTGTGTGTGTGTGTGTGTGTGTGTGTGTGTGTGTGTGTGCTGGTGGTGGTCGACACAAAATTTATGTAACACCCTATAGTTTCTCCTGACTCTTGATAAACTTTCGTTACCCAGTTGCCTTGATCTGAGTTGCGCGGTTAGGACGGTATGGCCCTGGATCCAGATTCCTGCTTTATTCTCCTCCTGCACCCAGAGGAGGAGAAGCGAAGCTCTAGTCCCCGCCGGTTAGAAGTGGCCTTCGCAGCTCTGGCAGAGCTCGTGGTGCTGTTGGCCTCTGTACGTGGAATCGCGTGCGTGACCCCCTGGAGCTCCTTGTGGCCTCTGTTCTGGGGGAGGGGGCAGTAGTGAACTCAAGCTGATTCTTTCTAGTCTACTTCCGAGGCGCCAGGAGATGGAAAGGGAGCCCCGGTGAACTCCTCTTGGAGGGGGAAGCGCACATTGCGGGGCGCCCGAGGTTATGGACCTCAGATGCGGCGAGGACTCCTCTGACCTGGGAGGTGTGGAACCAGGCACTCGGTCCTGGGGCCACACATACACGCCGGTTTTCTGGCCTGAAGCCGCCTCGCAGGTCCCTGGGACGGGGCGGGGCGGGGAGGGGCGGGGGTCGCAGGACTCCTAGATCCGTGCCCTCGGACCTTACCCTGCACGCCGCCGACCTGGCCACCACTTTGGGAACGCCGCGCAGGCGTTGGGACCTCGGGCGGCGGGTGCGCTGGGGCACTGGATGCTTCAGGTGCGGTGCGAGCGCCGGGCCTCGTTAATTCATTAACCCCCCCTGTCTCTAGGGCTTGCTGGCGGCGCGGTGTATTTTTATTTTCCTCCTTTCCTCTTGGGGAGCGAAGGCTGTCACCCGCGTAGGGAGCTGGGATCAACGTCTTTGCCAGCAGCTAATTTCCGCAAAGGGTTAAGGCTCGAAAGTCCATTTGGCCTTGTAGTGTGGTTTTTTGGTGTTGGTATTTTTTTTTTCCCTTCCAAATCAGATTAAGACGCCAGGAGAAGCCAAAATCCCTTCTCACCCCTACACCCAGGCCCTCGACAACGTCCGTCTCCCCACTCCCTAAGCCCTCCGGCGAACCCCTTCCCCCCCTCCCCCCCCCCCCCCCCCCCAGCCCCGCCGGTAAACTCCCAGTCCTGGAAACTATGAGGGGTTCCAGGCCTGAGAGCCACCTCTCACCGACCCAAGTAGGCCTCCCGGGCGCCCTCTCCCGACGGCTGCGCGCCCGGCCCGTCGCTCGCAGGGTCGCGGGTGTGGGGTGGCGAGGGGCGCAGGGAGCTTCTCGGACGCTGCCCGGGGTGATGCCCGACTGCCACTCGGAACTGGCGCAGAGAGGGATTACGGGGCCAGGTGTCGTGGAAAGGGTAGAGCCTGATTGGTCGTGGCGGAGGACGCGGGTCCGAGGGGGAGGCAGTGGGCGTGCCTGGGGGGGCCCAGGGGGCTCATTGGGGGCGCCAATGTAGGGGGTAGGAATAACGGGTGGTCGAACGAAGCCCTCTTTCCCATAGCTGTCCGGGGCTCACCTTGAATCTGACACATTTTCCACTCCAAGAGCTGGTGGAGAGAATGGAGAGAGGAGCTAAGACTCCGGGGCCCAACGGGCCACCTCCCGGTCCTTCCACCAGCGGCGGGAAGCAAAGAATCAGTCCCTTTGGATGACACTTTTGTTCAGCAGCGCTCCCCGGGGGGTCCTCAGCTGAATCTGCATTTAACAGCTTTGGGGTGAGGGCTGGCGGGCTGCAAGGGGCGCCCTGTTGCATGTTAATCCAGATCTGACTGTGACATCTGGGGAGGGTGGGGGGTGGTAAGGTAGCGCGCAGAGATGGAACCAGAAAGCAGCTTTCGTTAGGCAGGTTAAATGCCAAGAGCGGGTGAGCTCCTCTGGGAGTGCGGGGAGAGAGAGGGACGGCCGCGGGAGAGCACCGGCTGCGGGCCCCGGAATCCCAAGTGGGTCAGTGGCAAGTGTTTTATTCGAAAAGTTCGGAATGTCTATTCTGAAGCAGAACTAAATTACAGTTCTTAAAACGGAACTAGTACTTGACTAAAGAGGTCTTCTGCCCCTTCCCAAAGTTGGGTGGGGACGCGTCCTAGGGAGATGGAAGCTTTCTCTTTTGGGTAGGTGTGACAGGATGGGCAAGGAAGTGACTAATGCCCTTGATAAATGGACTTACAATTTTAGGGGTGAAAACTGTGTGGGACCAAAAGATATTTACTAATACTAGAATTGCAGGCAATTAATTTTCTTCTGGTAGGAAAACTGAATACAAAACAGAAGATAGAGGAAACACAATCTTTTGTCAGGTAGTTTCCCGCTAACTGCTTACCATGGATACATCTTATATAAATAGTAAATAGTTTATTGGGTTCCATTAATCCGGATCCCTTTCAGTCCACAGATCTTGTAAGCAATAGGATCTTAAAATCATCAAACTTTATTTTCGATTGTTGTTGTGGGTCCTGGGCTGTGCTCTTAATTCTTCTTCTCTTCTTCTGTTTCTTTTTTTAATAATATGTCAAGGGGAAATTATGGCAAGATTCTTCTTAATGATTAAATAATAAGGTGTTGACTGCTTGTCACTACATTGGCTAATTGGGATTTTCATTCTAGGTTTTATTGCTTAGTATCCTTTGAATATAAAAGTTGTTTACCAGGTGTACCTTTATTGTTAGTTTCTGATTGGATTCCAGTCTGTATTTATGTATGAACTTCGGAGTGCAGATATATTAATTCTTAACAGAAACATGATAAAAATCATTTTTGAAAAAATAAAAATACGGAATCTCTGCATATGGACTGGGATCACTTACATTGTTAAATGTCTCAAAGTCTGAATGCTAATGCCACCAAAGAAAGGTTTCCCCTCTTTCGTGGGGCCTAACTCCTGAACTCCTCTCAGC